TGCTGGTCGTTGTGAATAGATCCACTAGAGGTGTTCCCCATTTCCAAAAAACTGTCTGTAGTATGTCCATTCTTATTTCCCACTCGTGATTCGTGGGAAAACGTGGGCTGAGAGAGTCCGCAATGACATTGACAATGCCAGGTAAGTAAGATGCTATTATTGTGATGTTGTTCCATATGCTCCAATTCCAGCACCATACCACTTTGGCGCATCTTGCTCCTCCCTGCCCTTTTACGTAATACATTGCTGCTGTATTGTCCATCAATATTCTGACTGTCATGCCTTTGAGGTGCGGGAGAAAATACTTGCATGCATAAAAAATGGCTAGGAGCTCTAAGAGGTTATGTGAAGGCATCTCCCATTGGGAGACCATTTTCCCTGTATACGTTTCTCGTCCATGTGAGCGCCCCATCCGATGAGCGAGGCATCCGTCATTATTTGAACGGATGGCTGCTGCCGACAAAACGGAACTCCCATCAAAAGGTTTTGTGTGCTTGTCCACCAGCACAAGGACATTCGGACATGTGGTGGAAGAGATACTATTCTGTGTATGTCGTGGTTTGTGGGGACGTATACAGTTGTCAGCCAGTGCTGGAGGTTTCTTAAATGAAGTTGTGCATGGGGAACCACGACGGTGGTAGCAGCTATGTGACCTAGGAGAAGGAGGCAGGTGTGTACAGAAATTGCCATATTCCTGTCGAGTATGCTGATCAGGTCTTTGATTGCCTGGAATCTTTCCAATGGTAGGTATGCCCTTGCTGTAAGGGAATCCAGAATTGCCCCTATGAACTTTATAGTTTGCGTTGGAGTCAGAGCTGATTTCCGTTCATTCAGTAGGAGCCAGAGGGAGTCAAACGTTTGTCTGACCACAGCCATCATCTGGGTGGTTTCTTGTTTTGTTGCACCTTTTATCAAACAATCGTTGAGGTAGGGGAATATGATGACTCGTAGCTGACAGAGGTGCGCTGCAACGATTGCAAGGGTCTTCGAAAAAACCCTGGGAGCTGATGCCAGACTGAATGGTAGAACTCGATATTGAAAATGTTTGTTTTTTATTACAAAGCGCAGGAATCGTCTGTGCCCGGGATGTATGGCTATGTGGAAGAAAGCATCTTGTAGGTCGAGGGCAGCAAACCAATCGTTGTCGAGTGATGGAATTATTGTGTTGACAGTTACCATTTTGAAGCACTGTTTTTGAAGATGGCGATTCAGCTGGTGTAGATCGAGAATGGGCCTCCAGCCCTCTGTTTTCTTTTGCGTTAGGAAGTAATGTGAATAAAACCCTTTTCCTTTGAACTGATCTGGGACCCTCTCTATCGCTCTGTTGGTGAGGAGGTGATAGGCTTCTTGTTGTAAAAGATCCTCGTGAGAAGGGTCCCTGAAAAGGGACAGGGTTGGTGGGGTGGTGGTGGGGAGAGACGTAAAAGGAATGGTGAATCCCGACCTTATTACCTCCAATACCCATTTGTCTGATGTTATTGTGACTCATTGATGGTAAGAGGGTCGCAGCTGGTGGTGAAAAATGGGATTGGTGTGTGCAACAACAACTGTGTATTTAGCATGCCCTCGACAGGGGAGTCAAACTTGCTGTTTGGATGTCGACGGGTTGTTTGTTCTACGTGTCTGGAGGCGCCTCCGTTGTGGTTGCTGCTTGGAGTGGGTTTGATCAAACAGACAATTTTGCTGTCTGTGAAATTGGTAATCATACTGTCTTATTGGAAAATAACGTCAACGCTGGAAGGGTGGGACGTACATACTGAGTGTGCGCAATGTTGTTCTTGAGTCCTTCCCAGTATGGAGCATGTCGTCCATTTTTTCTGTGAACAATTTAATTCTGTCGAAAGGAAGATCCTCGACCTTGGATTGTAGTTCTTTGGGTACAGCCACTGTGGCGAGCCATGAAGACCGTCTCATGGACACTGCTGTTGCGACGCCTCGTGCCGCCATGTCCACCACATCCATGGCTATCTGCAGGTTTGCCCAAGAACATGTGTAGCCCTCCTTTAGTATTTCCCATAGCAGCAGCTTATCAGACTCTGAAGTTCTTTGTGCCAGTTCCGTGAGCTTAGCGATGTTGTTGAAACTGTGATTTGCGAGCAGAGCCGCATAATTTGCAATACAGAGGAGGAGCGTGGACGATGAGTACACCTTTCGACCAAATATGTCGAGTTTTTTCACCTACTTGTCCTCTCCTGTATTTTTTATCTTTGTAAAGCTGTGTCCACAAATTACATTAGGGGTGGGTGAAGAGGAATTCTGAGTCTTTAGACGATACAAAGTATTGTTTCTCAGCCGGCTTCAACATTGGAGTGGTTGAGGCCGGAGTGTGCCAGATTTCTGCTGCTGCCTGCAAAATCGTCTCATCAATTGGGAGAGCCACCTTAGATTGCTGTCTTGGATGCAGGTTTTTCCACAACTTATATTGCTTTGCTTGCACCTCCGTTAATTGGACTTCCTGCGATTGTGCAACCCTTCTAAAGAGATCTTGGAACTCCCGCACATCATCAGGGGGTGAGGTATCTCCAGCAAAGACAGCGTCATCTGGAGAGGATGATGAGATATCCTCTGGAGAAATGTCATGCGGTTGATCTTCTGTATCAGAGATCTCCCCTTCTTCAGGTTCAGAAAGTTGTATTGGGACCGAAGGGGTCTCCGGAGCGGGTCTCGGAAACTGGACCTTCTGTTGGGTTTGGACAGGTGGTGATTGCCATCTGTAGTAAGAAGAATGACAGCAGCATGAATTGGAGTGAGACTGTGATCTTCCATGCCTATAAGAGGAATGATAGCTCCCATGATAGCATTTGGTGTAGTCAGGGGACAAACATCTAGAGGAGTATCTACTCCCATGCCTCCTATGGTAGGACCTTGGAGGAGAATAGCTTGGAGAGCGAGATCTGTGAGATGATACGTGATGGTAGAGTGAATATCGCCTATAACGATCAGAATGGCGAGATCTCGATCGCTGCCACAGTGACTGAGGGGTACACCTGTAAGGAGCTGCGTAATCTTTGGTCTCTGGTGAGCGGCATGGTGATGGAGAAGGTTCCAGCGAGAATCCTGGTGATGGAGAGATGGAATGGAGTCTTGGTTGATTTTCTGGTGGCCTTTGTAGGGACTGAAGAGGTTCTTGCCTGATCGCCCATGGTGGGCCCTTGTTGCAGTCTGGTTATAGTCATCCTCCCCTGAAAAGGCGGATTGT